AAATGTCGAGCAGAGTGAAAGGTCTAAAAGACAATTCTTTATTAAAGGTTTAACTTTAATTTCGCTTTTCATCGCAATTTCAATTGATTTCACCTAATTAAACCATAAGTAAAAACTTAAGCGTGGTGCGGTAACTTGATCATTTTTTTTTTTCAAGCACGCGTACTGTGACGTAATCGAAATATTACATAGTTCGGGCCCCCTAATGTCTTTTGAGAGTGACTTTATGTGAAGGGATCATGAAGAATGGTGATTTTAAAAGAAAATAACTAAACAAACTACAGAGATCGGTTGCATATACGAAGAAAGATTATGCCCAATTAAGGTGTCGAATAAAGATAAAATAATTCTATTATTTCTAAATTCTTATAACTTTTACGGACATAGAACAGTGAAGGTAAAAGGTAAAAGACCCAACCCAAAATCTCTTCGCAGAAACTAGTCTAAAATCCACCCAAAGGGCGGTTACTAGGCTAGTATATATATATATATATATATATATATATATATATATACAGCATTGAAAGAGGCTTATCAATGCTCTTTTTTATTCATCGCTAATAAATTAAAAGAAATTTCAACACGAGAGGTTGACGAAAACCACAAAAGACGTGTTAATTTAGTAATTTATCTACAACTACCAGTCGTGTTTGTAAGTAGAAAGCGGTCTTTAATGGTGATGATTATAATGACAGAAAAAGATAAATTGCGGAATTGGGTCAGAAGCAGTACATCGAAGAACTGATCTCATAAACGTACGGCTATAAATTCAGATCCTTGAAACTCTTTTAAAGGTGCCATTTCTATTGACTTTCGTTATTTTCACATTTCGATGTGTAATGCAAAATTCGGGAGCTTAGCGCTTTTGGCGAAGATTAAGAAAAAGTGCAATGTCTAAAGAGTAGAAAATAAAGTGTGAAACTGACAACCATATGCAGTGTTGATTCATATATCTACACACACTCTCTCTCTCTCTCTCTCTATATATATATATATATATATATATATATATATATGTATGTATATAAATAAAAAGAAAGAACAGCAAGTTATATAATCCGGTGTTCTTACAGATATTTTTATTTTTACAAAATAGTGCTCCAAAATTCGCTTGAGGATGAGATGGAACTAATGTCTTTAATTTAATCACAAAATCAAATTCGGGGCTTTTAGCTTCCATTTTTGAAACATGGTTAGAACTGTGTAGCGAAAAAAAACATATTTTAAATCAATTAATTTATAATATATATATATATATATATATATATATGCTCTGTATGGAATAAATGCAGCAAATTTTAAATTATATATATTTATTACTTCAAACGTTATTTTTTGCCATGCGGGATACACGCGTAGGCGATCATGTACCTTTCGATACATGACTGGCGAGGCAGATTTTTCCAGCAGTAGGTTGTCATTTCTTTCTGCGGTAGACCAGATGCCATCCAAGGATATAGAACCCAATTTGTCCTGCTATTTACCCTTAGCTGTGGAGAGAAGAAAAGGCTTCATACCTTACCCAAGAGTATCAGCACGTAAGTGAATGTAATGGATTCGACTGGAATTCGATCCCGGTTCTCTGATTCCTCAATCCGAATCGCTATCCATTACTTCATGCCTGTATTTGAATAGACGCTCCGTTTTTTATTTTAAACAGTATTTATTTTATCTATCGACCTGCACACTCGAGAAAACATATTAAAAAAAATGTCCCTTGGGTACATTTTCTTTAATACGCACATATACACACCCTTTTCGCATGTTTATATATAGAATCTGTTTTCAGCATATACATACACACGCATTCTGTATATTTTCTACTTAGCATCCTCTCTTATACACAACCCGCTCGCCTTCAGATAAATTTCTTCTAATACTAATTATGTTTTACACGCACACATATACATGCGCATGCTCACAAATCCTCCCCGATAGACATACTTCCGCTTTCTTTCTCGTGTCTCTTTTTACACACACACACACACACACACACACACACACACACACACACACATTCTGATTCTGTTAAGCATGCACTCCCTTATCCAAACTCAATTACTCATAAGTTTTTTCTTACTTTTTTCTGACCCTTTCTTCCTTCGTATATTTAAACGATCTCTCTTTTGCTTTTATTTTTTTCTTTCTTAGCCTCTTTCTGCCTTTTATATAATTTAAGCGAGTCGTCTTCCTTTTTTTTTTTTTTTTTTTTTTTTTACACACAGACGCGCGCGCACATACATTGCATCGAAACTGAATGAAAACATGTCTGCAAATTTCAGTTTCTTACATTTTTTTTTCCCTGGCTCCTACTGAATGATAAAAAGATCCGCCATATTGAACCACACCCACGCAAGCACGTACCTGACTTTTGGGACAACACAAATAAAACAGGTAAATAGCACGCTCAAGGAACATAAAATAAAACATGTATAAAACATGTAAAAATCATTGACGTGTTTCATGACTTTTTGTAACATCGCTCTAATTTCCGTGGTAT